AGCTGGGCCCACCTGCGGGCCCACGTCCTGGCCTGGCCTTGGCCTGTCCCCGTCCCCAGGGAGGTGCCTGATGCCCGGGGCTGGGGCTGCCCCAGTGCCCCCCGGCTGCCCTGCTCCTGGCTGGGGTGGTGGGACGGGCCCTGGCTGCCAGGCCTTGGCATGACCCACCTGGGGAGCCTCCGTCCCTCACCTCTGTTCAAACACACTAACACTGCTTCTTTTGGAAGTGCTGCCGACATTTTGGAGTATAGCTCATGACTTTACAATACCAGAGGCGGGCAATAATGAATTGTACAACTTAATGCCAATTGGATCTGCTGTTTTCATACCTTATCAGTTTATACTTATTGCAAAAGCACATGAAAGACGCTCTTAAATTCTTCCCACATGCTTTGCTGAAGTAATTCCTGTGTGTGTAGCATGGGTCCAACTCAATTTTTAAAACCCTGGTAAAATTTTCCTGGAGTGTTGTTTTAAAGTGAAGCAATACTATCTATTGGGGATGAACATAAATGCTGTAAATATATTCACTCTGGAAATAAAAAAAAAAACCAAATGCTCACTGTACAAATACTTTGAGCACAGCTTTCACTTGCCTTTTCCTTTTCATCGTGCTGAAGACACCACATGGCTACCACCCTTGGCGCTTTCAGAGGGCTCTGCCAGAGGCACTGTGGAGAAGAAGGCTACTCCAGATTGTGGCTAATTTGAAAATAAAACCAACAATTCTCCTTTTAAAGTAATTGTGTATGTGACAACAAGCAGAATATCAAATACAGGCAGCTAATGCTGCAATCCTGCATGCACTTTAAACGCCTCTTCTGGAGGCATGAAGCCTTCCATTTTCAGGCAGCTGTATTTGAATGTTTTGGGCCAGGACATCTAGGGGGGGGGCAGAAGAAAGACAGAGGCTGCACAGTTTTTATCTGACTGTAAGTCATTAAAAGCAAACCAGATGGTTCACTTAACAGTGGTATTAAAGTAAAATGAGTAAAAGTATGCCTAGGGCATAGTAAAATCTTTAATTTGTCATTCATCCTCAGCCTTAGCCAGTGATTGATGGACAATTTCACAGAAGTGTCCAGATTAGATTCTGAATGAATCAATTTACTGTAATATTAATACAGTGCAATTGCTGATACATTTACTTTTTATTGCATAGACTTACTTCTTCACAATTTTGCTTACCTTTGGGGTATTGCTCAGTTCAGTCACTAATTGAAATGAATGCCATTGAGTAACACTGAGTTGCTATGGAGATAAAAAAATATACCTTTGGAGTCCTAAAAACCTTTGGCTGAAGTAACTTTGTCTTAAGGAATGGTAATATGGTACAGCCCAGATGACGTGAGCACTGTGTCCCAAGATGTTTTATTCTATCCCATGACTATCTGCCATGGCCCGTTTATCTGACCGACTTTATGCAGAGGATAATGGACACTCTTTTGCAACACGGGTTAGCACAGAGTGAAGCTATAATATCTTGCATTGGCTAAAAGCATCTACAGTATAATTTATATGCATATTTTATCACAGCAATCTTCCTTTGCAATGAGGTGTCTGGGTAGTGAAAAATATCTTCAACTTAAAAGGAAAGTTGTTATTGCTACTCATTTCATCCTCCTAACCTAACAATGGTGTTAAGTTTTATATACAAAACCATCAACTGTATTTTAAGTGCATCTCACCTCCAGGCCCTTCTTTTGGACTCAACTTGCACCATTTGTTTCTCCTTTAATTTTATTCCCAATTTATTTTTTTTAACCTGGTTACAGTAGCAATTTCCCCCTTCATATAGGTCACACAGAAAAATATTGCTTCCAAGATAAACTGACACTTAAGAAAAAATAAAACAGATGGTTGTTTTTGCCTGGATAAAACTTTTCTACAAAGCAAACCGTCAAGGACAGATAACGTAATCTAAAATAATAAATCATTTTTTCAGATATTTTCCTCACAAGTGAATGTTACAAATTTATCATCTATGAGAAACTTTTCTAGAGATCTGCTTGCTTTTTCTAATATATAAAACTAATTTTTTTTCTGAAAAGAAGGGAACAAAATCCAAACAATTTTGGCCCAACTATTAAGCAGTTGATGCTGGTGGTGTTATATAGGCCTATCCCACAAAAACCCTGATGACAAGGAGTTAGAGAACTATCCTAGTTTACTGAAATCAAACAGATTGTAATCATACCTTTTGAGACCCTTTGTGAACGAGGTTCTTGAGGCCACACATGGTGACACACTGTAAGTTCACTGTTGGTTTGAAGCGCAGGCACTCAGCCAACCTTAGTTCTACGTAATATGCACTGGTACATAGGACATGACTTCCCCCAGGTCTCGCTCTCACAGTAAATAATCCACATACAGCCTGGCCAACTGAACACTTAGTTTGTTCTGTGATATCTTAGGAAAGTTGTAAAACTAAAGGTATTGAAGTTGGAAAGGTTCTTGTCAGAGGGAATGTTTATTTTCAAAAGTTAGTGCTTTTGCTGAAGGTCTAGAGATTGAACCTTTGATGAAGATCACCTCATTCTCAATATTGATGAGTCATTACACTGAGATATACTTTGTCTTGATATGCAAAGTCACAGTCAATCTTACACAGGTGGATTAATTGTGCAGGAGGAATGGAAATTTCATAAACTATGGACTTGAAAAAATCACACAAGTTTCCATTTTAGCTCTTTAGGTGGTCTGGGCTAGGTAAAGAATATTATGGAAGACAATTCTCAGTGGTTCCAACACCTTTTCTAGCTTGACCTTTTTTTGCTACCTTGTTCGTTGAAACCAGGTTTAATTAAAATCATGATAAAAATAAGTTTGGGAGTTCAGCCTGTAACAAGTCTCACAACAGCACTGTTCCATGATTCATGAAATTAATGATAGTCTGTAACCGAGGGCTGTTTTTGTCCCATTATGATACAGACAAAGTTAAAGAGGCTTTCAAGGCAAACAAAAGTTGCATTTTTTATGTGAAACAATCATAGAAAATACACAGTTTTAAAGACAAAATTCTTTTCATGCCTTTTCTGTTGCAGGTTGCCTTTGAGGAAAATTATATTCAAATATCCTATTGAAATTACTTCCCACAGTAGACTTCTAGTCTGATTTCTTAACAAGCAGGTCTAACAGATACTTGTCAGAGGCTGAGGTTATATCTAGTAAATCATATAATTCCTCTAGGCCCCATTGGCCAACTGAATGGGACTCAAGAGACCTGAACTCTATTCCAGGTTCCAAGACTGGCCTTCTGAGAAACTTCAAGTTTCTATGCTTTGTTATCCAAAAAAACCAGAGCAAATGGTATTGACTGCTTTTATGAAGGGGTTTGAAATCTGCTTATGAAAAATGCTGCATACAAGCTACTTATTGGTATTCTTACTATCAAGAGAAAGAGCTCCGTGCAAAATCACATGGAATGCACATTTTCTCCCTGAAGGAGAAAATTAAGAAGAGTGCCTCAGCACATCTGCTAACGTTTAAACATGCTACAGTTCTGATATTTTGTATTATTGGACACTTTTGGAATGTGTGGTGACAAAGAGTTTTGCCCTTAAAGGCAGACTTGTTGCGTGGAGCATGCTTTCTGTAGGGACCATAGGCATAAGCGCACATGGTGGAGCACTGTGCCACCAAGTGGGTTGTCAGTAGGCTTCCAGCATAGCACTGATCTGGGCAGAAAGTTGGAGGAAGCCCAAAACATTGACCATATGGTCATGCTGGAGGCTGCCCTTCCAGCACTGTAGGGGCATAGCCAGCCATCGGTAAAGTCTATGTGAAGATTTTCTATATTCTTTCAACCCACAAATCTTTCTCTTCTACAGGGCATGCCATCCAGCAATGCTAAGTATTTTGCCACATAGTCAACTAGGTATTTTTTTTCTAACTTGTATGCAGAAAAAGAGAAGCAGAGAGCTGGTTGAGAAAGTCCAGCTCTCCTGACTCATAAACATGTCTTTTCTATGAAATCAACAACTGCCAGGAGTCTGCTGCCTAGTAGATTCATTTTTTCCCATGAAAAATAGGTGATGAATTTCACCACCTATGCCCTGACTTTAGAAGCCATTTTAATGTTTCATTTTTTAAATTTTTATTTTCTCTAATGTAACAACAAAATAAATTGTAGTTGATTAGCCTTGATTTTAAGGCCAGGAGGGATAAATAAGCCTTTAGCAAAGGAACAGCCATGAGAGTGTGATTTAATCGGTCATACCTTGTGTGTGTGCTAAGCAGCATTTCAAGAGACGCAGAAATCTCCTGGGAAAAAAAGATGATTGTTTGGGCAGCTCATGCTTTGTATGCTAATTATTACCATCATTCTCTTCTTTCCCCTGCCCCCACCATGTTTCAGCTTGGTCCATGTCCCTTTGGATAAGGCAACTGATCTCTTCATTGCCAGTGCTGGAATGGTCTAGTATGCCTGCCTGCCTCTGCTCTTAGTTTGCCACATCTGTGAATGCATGTATTTATCTGCTATTCGTGTATGTATTTAGTATGTTATTATGTTGTGCACTGTGTGGTATATTACATAATGTCCACGGGGCGTAAGTGCAGAGCATCCAGAATTTAAACTCAAGAAGTGGCTGGCCTGGCCACTTTTTAATTCTTTGCTTACTGCAATTCCCGAATCCAATGTTTTTCCACTGTAGGATCTCACTGTCCGACATATTCCTAGGATTCCACCTAAGCCGCTAGCATTTAGATCTGATTGATGTATACTTAGCTTGGGAAAGTGATCTGCAGCTTCAGTTCATGGTTTTCCTCAGACTATTTCTTACAATATTGCAGACCATTTCAATTCCAGCATCAAGACACAACTCTATCAATTCACTGCTTTTAATGTGGTATTATCTCATTTCCCAAAAGCACTGTACAGCCTTTTGGCTGGGTATTAATAATAGTAAAGCATGTATCATGGTATCAGTTAAAGTATCTAGACTTGTGTCCCAATTATTTATTTTCCTTTCTTTTTTTTATTCCCATTTCACCACCAGCTGCATTCAGACCAGGATAAAGGAGATGGATCACTTAAGTACATCCTTTCTGGAGATGGAGCAGGAGACCTCTTCATTATCAATGAAAACACTGGTGACATCCAGGCCACAAGGAGACTAGACAGGGAAGAAAAGCCTGTATACATACTCCGTGCCCAGGCTGTAAACAGAAGAACTGGAAGACCAGTGGAACCAGAATCTGAGTTCATCATTAAGATCCATGATATCAACGACAATGAGCCAATGTTTACAAAGGACGTTTACAATGCCAGCATTCCCGAAATGTCAGATGTTGGTAGGTGCTAACTAATAATTGATTTCAGTGTCTGGTCTGGGTTCTTTCTGTGGACTTAATGAAGAGCCCAAAGTTTACAGGCACTGAATACAGACATCCGCTGTTTGAGTCTGGAGTAAAAGCACCTCAGCCATTTAAAAAAATAAATCTAACTCCAGGAAAATAGTGACAACAGTTTACTGGAATCAGAGGTGTCAGCTGAGTGAAACCCTCTCCCTCTGTTGTACCACAAAAAATGCAAGTTAATACAATCTAGTTTAGCTCACAGTGAAAGTGAGCTGAGCTAAGCTGTGTTACATGACACCTGTAATAAGTTTAATGTGCTTTGTTAACATGATTTAGTAGCAGTGTAATAATATGGTAATCCATGGTCACCTAAGTGTGTCCATACCACCCCTAGATCTGTTCAGCAACCCTTCTTTAGTTCAGAAGGGTAAAAAAAATGGAAAAGGGCAGGTGCAGAAGTGGTTGTACACACTTCAGGAGCAAAAACTGTCACCCGAGTCAACTCATCACTGATTCTGAGATACGCCATTAACTTCCGATGACCTTTGTTGCTCTCTTCATGCAAAAGAAAAAAGCTCCAAAGTCCACTGAAGTCCACTGAAATCTTTCTATTGATTTAAAATGTATCAAGCTGTAAGAATCGATCAATAAAAGAACTTCCTTGAAATATGATTTTAAGATTGGATCTTTTCCTGAGAAGTTGACAGGTTTTGATTCTTTGTCTCTGATTCTTAGGGAGGTCATTTTGATTTCTTTGTCAGAGAGCGATGGATGGTTAAACTGCAAGAAGCACATTTCTAATCTGAAATAATATCCAGGGAGAGAAACATTAATTAATTGTAATCAAGAATGGAATTAAAATAAAGCTCAAGCGATATGAAAATAAAGACTTTGGGGCATGCTCTCTCCTCTCATTCATGGGACTTGTCACACGGATGAAAACTCACCTGGTGAAGAGAGAACCTAATATTCACATTTTAATATGTGAAGTGAATACTTTATTCACTAATCTGTTTTAAATGCCAAAACCTAAGATCATTTCTTATGTTTGTTAACACTTTGCCTAGGATTCAACACCATTTCTTTCTCTAGAAGACACATGAAAAAACAGATTTACGTTCCTATGTTAAACACCTTACAAGCATGAGTAAATTTACAAAAGTATATTCTTGACCTAGATTCAAATTCTGAATGCCTTCAATACCTGGGGAAGGGTGCGTTTCTGGTTTCTTCATAATAAATATGATGAAGGCTCTACATATCTGATCAATAACTGTGTGTTTTAATGAACTGAGAATAAGCCAGCTATCACTTTGGTTTTGTATCTATGTCCTTTATGAACAGAGAAACTTCTACAAAATAATAATATCTCTAACTTTTTGCCACAAGTTTGACCTGAACCTGAACTATGCTTTTTCTACCTCAAAAACTGTCTTGGCCATAAAAAAAACCTGTGGATTTTTATTTTCTTTAATTTATCATTGCAGGTACCTTTGTTGTGCAAGTCACCGCAACTGATGCTGATGATCCTACATATGGGAACAGTGCTAAAGTTGTCTACAGCATTCTCCAGGGACAACCATATTTCTCCGTTGAATCTGAGACAGGTCAGGGGACCTTATCTGTCATTCTATGACAATGTCTGTAATTTAAAATGACATACTAAGCCAAGCTAGGAAATACTAGACAAAAACTTCAAAGAGATTACATCTTGCTCAGTGCAAAATCTGACAAACTTAATAGAGCGAGACATCTATAAACATGACACCTACATTAGTTTAATGTTACCAGCAAAGTCTAATAAATACAATTAGTACTGGATGTGAACCAGTTTTCAATCATTTTTAACAAGCGGTGGGTACAGAGACTGCTGTGGATGCTTAAATTAAACCAAATAGGTTGGCTTTTAGAAGAAAATGAGAAACAGGTGGGTGTGGAGAAAAGTGCTTAATCCTCATAGATCTTCATAATGGCTAAATTAAGACTGAGGGTTTGTTCAGGTGGTTTTTTTTTTTTCTCCTCCTGCTTCTTCAAAATTTGTTTAAAGTAATTATAATTTCTGTACATCTGCAACGTATCACTTTAATGGTAATTTTATGAAAGAAATCTTAATTAAGAATAATGATAGAAGAGGTAAAATTGGCTGTTGCGCTACACTAGAAGATCATAAATAGAATCCGAAACTTCTGAGTTCTGTTTTTGGAAGATGTTTAAATTATACGCAGTGACTGGAATTTTTTATGGGCTGAATAACAGTCAGCTTTGGAACCTGTGCATGTAAAACATATGAATTCTGGCTGACTGCATCTGCTGACCCATTGACTATCTGACTACATAGACAGTCTCTTCCCAAGATTTGTAACAAACTTGTCCAACAAGAAACAAAGAATCTCCAGAAACTCCTTAAATGAGAACATCCATTGTGATAGGTTGCTGGGAGCTAGAGAAATCAGTTCTCCTCAGCATCCTTACAGGAAAGGAACGGCTTATCCCAGACAATTGATCAGGTTTTAGCATTGTTTCTTAAATAAATCTTGGAGACTCAGGCAGGGAAAAGGAGGGAGAGATTATGTTTCTCAAAGAAAAACCCAAGGTGAAAAAATGTACATAATTCTGAAAAGAGGGAGAGCCAAGATCAAAGAGAGCTTCCCTTCAAGCATAAGGTATTAGATACTACAAGCAAGGATTTTTGCACTGATGCACTCGTTCCGACTTGGACAGTACACTACGTGCTCTTCTATCTAGAGCTATAATAAGGATAACATAGCTGGGAGTTCACCAGTAATAATCTTTTAGCAAGAGGTTTGTATGGGGCACACAGGGGAAGCAAGGTAAACCACAGGCTTGATCTTCCTGCCATGGAAATCAATTGCAGAACTCCTAGAGTGAAATAAGTCTCCATCGAAGCTGCTGTGAATTTTGCCATGGATTTCAGTACTTGAATTTCACTCCTTTTGCCTACAAAGGAGTCAGTTCTTAGCCTTAAGAGACACAGTGAGAATGCAAACATTTTGCTTCATGGTAAATCTGAATGATTGGATTTCAATAGGAGTTGGCCTCATAACTGATATTTGTGCCTTTGAAGAAGGAAGTGACTGGCAAAATCATTTCAATCAACGTATAAATAGAAATATATATACTTGGGCATGCTTGGATGCTCACAATTTTCTTAATTAATTTCTCTCTCCCATTTTATGTTGTTGTGTTGCCTCTTTAATGATGTCTTGCTGAAGTTAGCTTTTTTTTTTTACCACATCTGTCAAAATAAAAATATTGACAGAAGAGGAGAGAAAAGATAGAGCACATTATAATGAACAACAAGCCTTTTTCCAGTTCAGTGAGAGACTTTAGCATGGAACTGAAAGGGGGTAAATAGTTATGTAAAATAACACTGCTCACAAATAGGTAGAACATCTTTCTGGGGATGCCACTAATATTGTGTCTGTCACATAGGCAGCAGACTGAGATATGATATGACAAGTCTGTAATTTAATGTGCCATCTCATAACAGTAAATATTTGTACTGGGCAAAGTTTACTTATTACACAGGGATTGTTTTGTTCTTTAGGCTGTGGGGTTTTTTTAATAAGGATTTTCATCACAATCAGTACCTTACTTGTGAATTCCCCCTCTTTAATTTTCATGTTTTCAGGTGTTATTAAAACTGCTTTGCTAAACATGGACCGTGAAAACAGGGAGCAATACCAAGTGGTCATCCAGGCTAAGGACATGGGAGGCCAGATGGGTGGATTATCAGGAACCACCACCGTGAACATCACATTGACTGACGTAAACGACAATCCGCCTCGCTTCCCCCAGAGTATGGAATAATTACATTCTATGTCTTTACAGTAAAATGGACAAAAATTGGTATTTTTTTTTTCACCTCAGGTATTGTTTCTGCTGTCATGAACTTACTGAGTATCAGACTTCCTTTAAGAAAGAAAAAGACAACACACAAGCAAGCAATAGGATCATGCTAAGGTTAATTGCAATAACTGGGAAACATATCTTTAATATTTTTGCTCCAGTTGCAGTAAATAGTCTGAGAGGTGAATTAATGTACAGAAACATTAATTTTGCTACCCATTAAATAGCTTTGACTGATATAATCTATATTTCTTGATCAATATTATTTCTATTAGACCTTGTCATTGACTGCGTTTTAAGATATCTGTTCTAATCTAACGTATTTCAGTTTTGAAACATATTTAAGTACGTAAAATGATCCCAAGAGCAATTCTATCAAAATGAATACTTACACCCAGGAAGCATTTGCCTCAATGGATTTTCCTATATTCTTTGCATACAGAAACAAAAACACGTACATAAACATACCAGATATTTCTCTCTATTTTCCTTCCCCTGTCTCAGATCATTTGGTAGATATCTGTGTGATATTTAAGGGCATCACTTGAGCCAGATCTCTTGGAAAGTAGTTTCTATTAATGACCACTCATGGCCATAAGTGATTCAAAGTGATTCAGCTTTCATCCACTTCTCTTTCCCTCTCTTTCCTTCCTTCTCTCTTTCTTTCTTTTCTTCCTTCTTTCGCTCTCTCTTTTTCTTCTTTTTTGCTTTGTCTAACCACTGCTGTGTGTGTGATGTGTGTGTATCACAGTGTCAGTGTGTGTCAAAGTCAAGAGCAGCTGTTAGAGAAAATTATTGCAGATACTATCAGACAAATCAGCAAGCTTTGGCGGTTAAGTCATTGGGAAAGTTATTGGAAGCAACTTGTCATTTAAGTTCAAAGTCTGTTCCTAGCTATGGGCAAAGCGTTTCCATTTAAATTAGAGCAACTTAAGAGGAAATATAGCACTCTGCCTCCAATGAGTTAATTATACATCTCTGGACATAAGTGTCTTCAATATAAAAGCCAAAGATACAGCTTCATAATGCCAACATTCCCCAAGTAGAGTTTTCTCAGAGGAGAATTCAATGTAGCACATTATTAATAGGCATTTGGCTGGATTTGGTTTTAGCGTTACTAAGCTGCGTTGGCCTCTAGCAGTTCTTAATTTTTGTCTTTTGGCCTCAAGACATTTTTCATATACAATTTTTATATAGCCAACAGAGACCCTGATAATGTCTAGAAAGGGACGTATGTTGCTAAAGGTACGTGTACGTAGGAAAACAAAATGCCCATCCTTCAAACTAGAAAATAGACAGAAAAATAAGTTACTTTTATCTACATGAAAGTAAGGCAGAAGCTGAAGGCTGTTGCCCCAGGAAGGCCTGAAGACACAGCGACTCACTGACTCATCTGTGCATGCCCAGCATGGACAGTGGGCTGAGAGATGGTGTCCAAAGTACCATGAGACTGACTGACAAAATTTCCTTCTCTGTCTGCTGTAGGCACATACCAATTCAGAGCTCCTGAGTCTATGCCACCTGACTCACCGGTTGGCAGGATAAAAGCTAATGATGCTGACGTGGATGAAAATGCAGAGATTGAATACAGCATCACTGAGGGGGATGGATATGACATGTTTGGAATTACCACAGACAAGGACACACAGGAAGGAATTATAACTGTCAAAAAGGTATACACCTTAACACACTTAATCCCAGCCTCTGAAATACCAGTCAAAACTTTATCGAGCACATACTTGTTTTCCATTTTTAGTGTAACGTGTTATTAATTTGAATGCTATCTATTAGGAATCTCTACATTACCTATGTAAAATTTCTTTTATACAAGCAATTGGGGTCCTTCCTCTTATATCCTCCTTTACTAAACCAATGCACATACTTTGAAGGACCTGAGAGAGTAAATAACCTATGGAGTGGGATAGGACTGAGAAAAAATTCTACAGTCTGAACATATCCACAGAATAACTCAAGGAGGCACCACCATCCAACTGCGATTTTCTCCCTATGATGCTTACAGGATTTGCTCACTTACTAGAAAGTGCTGTGTTAAGACCACAGAAATAATCAGTATCACATTGCCTATTTTGTACTATCAGAAGGTGTTGAATTGTATAGGTATAATATATTAAAGTACATAGACAAATTTCTTTTGACTCACATTTTGTAAAAATGTAATTAATAAATCCATCAGCATGCTTTTGCTTTAGAAAAAAAAACACAGTGCCTTGCTGGATCACAATGGACATCATCTACTAGGTTGCACATTGGCTGTCAGAAAAGGTTTGAGAAATATTGTTTACAGTGGGTTATCAGGCAAGCTTGATAAGGTTACAGATATCATCCTCCATCAGTTCAAGTTCAGTCATCACTAGATAGACATTGTGTAGATTTTCCGAACATGCACTTGCTTGTTGATATCAGTGAGACACCTGTCATTACTTGTTTTTTAGGAGATGCCTTCCAGGGGCTGATTATGGTATCAGTCTAACTCTGTTTGCATTTCTGTCTGTTGCTGACAGAAGCTGTGAATCTTCTACGACATAATGGAAAAACGGGGTGACTAGTCTCTCCCCACATTTCTCTAAGTGCTGTTACAAAGAGTCACTAAATGCTGTTTCTTCATACTTTTAACAGTGTGATATAGTCATAGCCTATCATAAAATCATGTTTTCCTTGATGGGTGGTCCTGGATGTCCAGACACTAGATGTCACGTTGTTTCGTTTCAGTGATGGAATGCCAATATTTAAACAAGCAGCTCCTAGAAAATCTCCCCCCCTTTAGTGTGTGGTGCTTAGGGGCAAGGAATAGACAAGAAAACATCAAAATGCCAAAAATGACAGAATAAAAGGCATGAAGAGTTAAGAATATTTGAGAAGGAAAGATTAATTGATGCTTAGGAGTTCCAGGCATAGAATTCCCTGAAAAAGTGTTTTTTTCTATACCGTACCATCAGTAGCATAGAGCCCTGTCTTTCTCTTTTCTGCTGGCGTTTTAATTCCAGTTCAGTCTCCTGTTATCTGGCACTGGCCTCTCCATGACATCCCCCCATTCATTTGGCTCATCTGGCTGCAAGCCACAGCAATCCCCACAGACCTTTTAAACTTTTCTTTTTCTCTTCCCAGGCATTGGATTTCGAAAATAAAAACCTGTATATTCTGAAAGTGGAAGCTACCAATACTCACGTGGACCCTCGATTCCTCTACCTGGGACCATTCAAGGACTCAGCTACAGTCAGAATTCAGGTGGAGGATGTAGATGAACCCCCCGTGTTCAGCAGACCAGCATACATAATGGAAGTGAAAGAAGGTGTTCCAATAAACACTGTAATAGGAACAGTAACTGCTCAGGATCCAGACGCTGCCAAGAACCCTGTCAAGTAAGCATAGACTATTTCAGCTTGTGTGTAAATTTTTTGCAGCTTTAATTTTGCTTTTTTCATGTCAGCACACACAAAAAAATCACTTTTAACAATGAAATTGTTCAGGTATGCTTAAATATAGAGTATTTCAGATGGTAAATGATCTCTCACGCTTGGGCATATCTAGGTCTGTGTGATTGTGTTTGCATGGCCCTTGCATCTTGAATTACATCCTATCCTCTTCAGTAACTAATATTTGTAGTTATTTCTACCATGGAAGAATTTACTGCCAAAAAAGCACTAAGAATCTGTTAGTGTTCTCCTTCCACCTTTAACATTTTCCAGTGCAGTGCGGTGCATCCTCTTGGATATATGACAGGGGGGTGATTCAGCAGACCTTTCTTCTCCCATCCATCCAGACCTGCTTAACAGAGGTCACATTTACCTTCTCTAAACTGCAAGTAGAAATGCCTTAAATGCAGCTCCTGTGCACACACAGACTCTGATCTCATTTGTATCAGTGTGTCCTGGTTTTCTCTGGGATAGAGTTAATTTCCTTCCTAGTAGCTGGTACAGTGCTGTGTTTTGGATTTAGTATGAGAATAACGTTGATAACGCACCGATGTTTTAGTTGTTGCTAAAGTTAGTAAGATAAGAATCAGTCTCATGGACTTCATAAATTACACTTGCCATGAATCAATAAACTAGTCTTAGAGGAAGTGGAGGAAATGTTAAGGTTGGAGTAGCTAAATCTAAGCCTTCACTTTTGTAAATTAACAGGTACATTGTTTCAGTACATTTGAAAATATACTGGAGTACTTAAGTCATATTGGATAGAGCATAAAAGAACTTTTAAATAGTTGTGTGCTTTAATTAAAGTTCATTGCTACTGACAAGGCAGTAAGAGGAGGAAATGAAAAATACAGCAATATTAAATCCAGGTCAATTTTCAGCATGTCTCTGGGTTGGGCATCTTGGAAATGCAGTAGTAGTCTTAAGATCAAAATAGAACAATACAGGTTTAATAAAACCCAGTCCATCAATACTTTGCACTTCTGCAAACAACTATCTTTCATCAAGGTATCTTACAATGTTTATGAGGTATGAGTAAGTTTTAAGCTCTCAGCTCATCTTGTGAGAGGGGTAAATATTATCATCTTAATTTCCTAGATGAAGAAACTAAATCTAAAACGTTTCTGGCAGAAACCCTCTCTGTCTTCAGTTTACATGCAATGCCCTGCACGTGAATTCTTGTTCAAGACTAAGCCTTCTAATTTTAATTAAGGTTTGCTTTCATTTATATCATGACACGCAACAATTATATAGAGTTCTGGACTAGCAGAGCATAGTAACTTCAAGAGCAATGTAAAGTTTTGCTGACTTTGGTGAAGCCCAGGGGCAGAATGAACACCTTCTATACCATGTCTTCATGGGCATGCTAGCATGAAGATGGAAAATTGGTTGAGGTGACACCCAGTCCCTTTGCAGTCTTCATATGAACCTGCTTTTTTATATCTAATGGCACTGGAGAGTGAGGGGAGCGCTTCCCTGCTTCCCTCTGCTTCCCTGTGGTGATAACCACAACCATTTGCATTTCACACCAGCACCAGCTCCTAATTATAAGTGATTTACAGTGGATAGGGATTATGCTGTTCATTGCCGAGTACTGCCTACTGGCTCTTTTCTGTTAATTGAATGTGTGTGCTAAAACTTACCTGTCTTTCAAAGGGCAGTTCTTTAATACAGCATAGGTACTTTGCGTATTAAAGTATCAGATAATTATTGAAGAAAATTTAGCAGAGGTGTCAAAATTGATGCAGTGCAGCAGAAAACTTGTCTCCTTTATACTCTAATAGCATGCAACAATCAAGGTGAAAGGAGAAGAAAAAGAAAAATGAGGAAGAGGATAGAGTAATAGAAATAAACACAGCAAGAAGAAACATGAAAATCAGCACGAGGAGAAGGAAATCAGCAGAAAGCAGTAGCCTGAGAGATGTTAGCTTGCAATAAATGTAATTTTATGGTGCTAATATCTTGGGTATCTCCTAGAATTCAGGGGCACGGGTTGAGTTTGCATCTTTTTGACAGGGTGATTTTTTTTTCCATCATGCAATAGAGATGCTAAATCTGATTTTCACTTTAAGCTTCGGGGAAGATGCAATTAGACTGTATATATAAGACTTGTCACTTGCTTGTCAATTTTTCTTGACAGCTAAAAATAAAATCTTTAGACACTTGATATTACAATGAAAACCTTCCATTTTCTCCTCTACTTGAGTGAAGACTTCTCTTTTTAAACAAACCGAGCCCTAACTCTGTTAGATGAAAGCCCCTTTGATCTTCCATTAAAGGAAACCTTCACAATATCATTATGAAAACGCGTTATGAAAAATTCACACACACATCCCTTCCTGACCCACAAATCTTCCTGCCTTGCGGTTACATTAGACAGCAAGCTGCTGAACATCAGGAGACAATGAAGCAATAACAAAATAGGAAGCGGATATCTGCCCTGGTTGTCAGAGTGCATAATCGTTCATGACCTATGTATTTGTAGAGCTCCATTTCATCAGTCCAGCCCTTATAAATAAGCTTTGCTGTGACATGACATTAAGAAAATACAAAAATACACCAATAGATGTTTGGCTATATTTGAATATGCACCCATGCGTAGCGACATTAATACACTCCTGAGTAACACTCCACTGTCCAGCTGTGATATAAAAAAAAAGTTTTGCATTCTGCTTGTGTTTGATGTAAACAGAAATATTATGAACCACTGCATACTGAAAAAAAATAATGCTGCAACTGGCACTGCTGTATTGTACATCAGATCTTTTTAAATTGCTAGCTGAGTTTTTTTGCTATAGTAACTCCTCAGAGGCATAATGAAGTTCATCAGTCACTGGAACTGTCTCCCTGCTGTGATTTGATTTACTAAAGTATCCCAGATGAAAATGATCTGCAAACAAATGTAAGGCTTAATTTTGTTTGTGTATTTTACTGACAACATATTTGCATGTGTTAGATTCTCTCTTTCACCCTCCCCTTCTTCCTGTTATGTACGAGGAGAGACTGGAATCTACGTAGATACCTTTTAACTTCCTAGCTTGTCAATTCCTCAAGGTTTGAAAGGGATGAAGGCCTGAAATCTGACAAATAAACACCAGTAATTTCATTAAATAAATGCAAAAATGAGTTTGATGTTGTCTGCTTAATTCTTACTAGGTTATGATCCATAAGTCAGAATCGCCACCAATTCGACATAATTAACAGTCCTTGATCAAAAGAGACTGGATTATACAAACTGAGAAACAGAAGTGACAGTCTAGCTTATTAAAATCATCCTTCTAGACCAGGGTTAATGGTATAATTAGAATATACTTAAACTGCATTGACCTTGTATGTATTTTCTTTTGGATATGAAGAAATAAAATTAACATTTCATTAAGAAGCTGTTCTCTGGTTGTTTTTGGGTTTTTTTTTTTTTTTTTTGTGAGTTTAACTTTCCACTGTACAAATGACTGAATATACGTACAGTTTTATAAGGACTTATATTTTAAAATTCTTAATATCTTGAAGAAGAAGTCCTCAATGTTACAGCTCTGGTAACCTTAGAAAAAGTCCAGAACAATTTTTTTTTCATTTCTTCCAGATACTGTACCACAGATTGAATTTGGGAAATCTTACGAAGTAAAGATAGTGATTACAATATGCCAAGGCATTAAAATGTGCTAAGGCAGTAAGGTATTTTAAGTCCATTCATAATATGAAGCATGAGTGAAAGCATAACTGAAGAAAGAAAAACAACGAATGGACAACTCATGCCTAAAGCTAGATGCTTACTTAAATATCTTGCTGAGCAAGAGCCTGAAACATACTACTACAGTTGGCTGGAACAGCTAATCTATGGAAAATCCTGATATTTAATTTCAAATAGGAATGCAAAATCTAGATTTACTGCAAAATGCAAATACCAAAGTGTTTCAGTTGAAAGATATGGAAATGAGCTACAGAATATCTGAAAAATAATTGAATTCACAAAACACCAACATAATATCATATAAAAGCCTGAATGAATGAAAGTTAAAATGAAACGTTTACCATATCAAATACTTAATTTGTCAAAATATAAGAGAGTCAGACCGGTTTGTATAAACTTGTTTCCATCAAACATTTCAGTTAAGTCAACAAATTCACATGTACTATTTGATTTGGACAAAACAACACAGCTTGCTGGGGCTGTCCCATCAGTCAGCGCTGCGTATAACATACCTTCTCACATACTCCTTTCAAGCTGATGGTAATGTTACAATGCTGCATAAAGGAACTAGGTTAGTGGCACCACAGCTGACTTCATGCAGCTGAAATTCCGGCACTGTTAGTCAAGTGACAGCAACGAACAAAAACTAAATCAACTCCTGAAAATCTAGCAAGGTGTGCCTATGCAAGTCCTACAAAAAAGGTCAGCCTTTTGTGTGAGTACCTTTGAATCTCATTTGGTTGTTTCCATAGGAATTTAATGTGGAAAAAGAAAAACATTTTAGTGCAAATAATTAATACTTGCTATTGTTTTGTTTAGGAAGCTAGGCTACGCTAAAATTCTCATTTTAGAATAACACCAATTTGCTGTGGATATTATATCCCATTTTTTTACTTGTAAAGAAGAAAAAAAAAAAAGCAGTTACAAGATAATTAGCAAGTTAGTTCATTTTAAACCTTTGTCAGAATCACGTGTTTCAACTGGACTCTTGTATTTCCTTCTTCTTCCATGCAAGATCTTTCTCAGAATTTCAGAGACACTGCACAGGCACTGGGAAATCTGTGCAGAATAAGGGATATGTCACGCAGCTGCTCCTAGGGCAGAGCAGGGAACGGAAATTTTCTTCAGCCTCTGCATTCCCCTCCTTTCTGTAGTGGCAGTAAACTCTGCCAGCCATTCTTCTGGCCCAGTTTTCATCTGACAGCATACCAGCTCAGCCGTATCTTAATCCTTGTCTGGACACAAGGGACAGCAGCAGCTGCCTTGTCTCCATCGACGTGGCCTTCAAGGAGACCAAGGGAGCACACTGGGCTTCCTAAGGCTCTGTCCCGGATTGTACACCAGCACACATTCGGGCTTGAAACAAGAGCAGAATAATGCAATTGCATTCTTGCTTTAGCAACATCAGAGACGTATTTCTGTCAAAACCTCCGTAATTTATGCAAGAATTTTCTCTTCATGAGAGATGAAACCAAGTCACAGCATTTGGATCAGGGTGGTAGCACCCCCTCCCGTGAACTGCAGAGCTCTGTTTCTAAAGTTGAGTTCAGTTCAGCAGAAAAAGCAAAAGATCAGATTGAAAATTTGAATCTGTATTTAGACTCTGAGCTCCTCCAGAGCTTGTTAGCATTCATTTTCACATCTAGGTACCATCAAGCAGGGCTGAGCATGTTAGTTTTAATGAATTATAGCAAACCTTTATGTGATACGTACGACGGAATAATGAATCTCTGCTGCCTTGTTTTGAGATGAAACCAAGTCACAGCATTTGGATCAGGGTGGTAGCACCCCCAACTGCAAACTGCAGAGCTCTGTTTCTAAAGTTGAGTTCAGTTCAGCGCAAAAGATCAGATTGAAAATTTGAATCTGTATTTAGACTCTGAGCTCCTCCAAGCTTGTTAGGCATTCATTTTCACATCTAGGTACCATCAAGCAGGGCTGAGCATGTTAGTTTTAATGAATTATAGCAAACCTTTATGTGATACGTACGACGGAATAATGAATCTCTGCTGCCTTGTTTTGGGGGGGGGCAGTCTTTTTAAACGCTGGGAAGTGAAAGCAAGAAATGCACCCCAGCTGTCAAATTTTATATCAGAAATGATTTGGAACAGTTGATATATCAAACCATAAAAAGAGGGTTTTATAATAGGAAAGCCAACTCAGCCTTAAAATAAACTTCATATCTTTCAGGACACAGACTTCACATTTCTCACTAAAAACAAAGCTTTGATGATTCTCAGAGGTATGTAAATTCTGCAGTAATTCATTTATTCAGTGACAATGCTCCGCCTTCTAAATCAAACCTCCAGTGTGTCATTATCCAGTGGCTCAGAACTAGCTCTTTGTGAGAATACATGAAGACTCTGAAGCCTGCGCTGAAAACAAAAGGCAACCCCATTTACTAGCTGTTTGATGTCTAGTCTTAGAAAATGGTTTAAGAACATAGAAATAAAAAGGAAAGAATTCTCCTAACCCCTGTCTCTGTATTTGCAGGTACTCTGTAGATCGACACACTGATATGGACAGAGTATTCAACATCAATTCAGGAAATGGTTCGATATTTACTTCAAAACCCCTTGACCGGGAAACACTGCTATGGCACAACATTACAGTAATAGCAGCAGAGATCAGTAAGTCAAACCTAAATACCACTGCTGTCCCTGATGTAATGAATTTAGCCTTCTAGCTGAGCGTGTGAAAAGCACGGCTGGACAGATGTCAGGTTATATGGATAGTCCGCTCAATACTAATGAAGAAGCGGAAACTCTGCAAGAGGTGGTCTGCAGTTTTGTTACCGTGTTACCATGAAGAGGTAACTTAGCTGAGCAGGGAGGAAAGGTAACAATTCTGTGTTTTCTAATCAGTAATAGCCTTTTTTTTAAATTTTGAACACGACTGTTGAATTCTGAAATTGGCATGCAGCAAGCAAGATGGTTTAAAGCCAAACTGCATTCCATGGCTGAATTCAGTCTGATCCAGACTGAATATAGCCCAGGCTGGATGTTTGCAAGTAAGACTAAAGTGGCTGGGCTGAGCTAGGTGGACAGATCTCAATCAGTTTTAAGGATTTCCATTTTTAACTTCTTTCGCATCCTTTGAAATTATGAGCTATAGTTAACAAATCAGTCTGTCACTTAGTTTAGGATTGCTCAGAAGAAGTAAACTTGTGATAATACTAGTCCTGTTGATTTTAGGAGCGGAAGTGCCAGGGATCTAGATAAGGACGTGTATGCTAGGTGGCCTTAATAAACAATCCTCTTTATTTTAATACATTAACTATAAGCGTGTGACATGCTCAAATACTAGGAAATGCAATTCTATTTGCTTTTGGAGAGTCACAGTGCCTACGATTGTGAAGCATGGTAGAATGGTAGATAGATCTAATATAAACACCAGTTCCGACTGTCACAAAGTCTTTGTGCAACTCAGAGGCTAAATGGCTTTTTCGTTAAACGTAATCTGAGACAATATAAGCTCTACTTTCTGATATTGTGTGTATGTGCATATGGCTCAATCGCCTGCTGAATGGTGAGAAGAGTGTAACTTAGGAGTACTTGACTCCACCTTACTCTATTCTGTAGGTCTTTTTAAAACTGAAAACTGATGTGAAACAATACTATTGAGGCAAGCAGATGGGGTTATGTAAAAAAGTAGTGGGTTAGAGCCTACAGAAATTATGTTTCTTAATAGTTTTCTCCCTCTCTTGAAAGTTTGCACCTTTTAATGCTAGGTATATGGTTTCAGCATAACAAACACTGACTTGTGGCTGACTGTTAGGTGTTTGTGTTTCTATTAAGTCTTTGAAGGAGTAATCTAGAGTCAAGAGTTGTACACTACAGACTGTGCTCCTGGGTAGGGGAGGAGAGGAAAAATAAACACCTAAAAAGGAAAGAATAGCAAGAACATTTAGGAAGCACACTTGCATTGATCCCAGAAGAGCTGAAATAATATACAGTATAGAAAATTGTATACTGGCTGAAAACCAGCTTAGCATCTATATGAAATACTCATTTAGTTCCTTGCCTCCTCCGCTAAGGACAGAACTTCTACCGGGCCAAACCCTCTCAACTAAACCTTTGGTGTCTGACACAGGCTTCTGTCTTAATTACCATTCCTCTTTAGTCTGAATCCTTCCAGGCTGCAACAAGCTACTTCCCAGGCTGTGCTTCACTGAGCCTAGACCAAATTTGGCATAACTGGGGTAGATGCCTTCCAAAGGCAATTTTCTTGGTTGAAATGCAGCTACTGTTTAAACAAGCCTTGGTCTGATCCAGGCTACCTCACTAATTTTAGTCTCAAGAAACTAGACTGGAAAGGAACACTGCTTAATGCTCCTAGCTAAAACCAGTAGTTTCTAGCAAGGCTAGCTAAAGTCCCATTCCACTAAATTTCAGCTAATCAGTGATTGCTCTCAGTGACATACCATCACACCAAACCCCAGGTATATTTCACTGAAGTAATCTAAGAGAAATATCCAGTCAAGTTACAGGCAAGATGCACATACAGATGGATGGGTGCTCCCTTTGATATAAAAAAAGTTAAAAAAAAAAAAAGATAAGTCATAAAGAGAAACACCTTTTAGTGATGACTGTTCTTGATTTCATTTTACAGTAGAAAAAAAATGAAAATAGGAAGTTGTTTTGCCTTTAATTGTCTAGAATTGTCAGTAAGTGTAGATAGCTCAATTTTTTAATGTTCTTTTTCACCAGCATGAGCTGCAGTTGCTCAGCAGCCCGGAGAATCATGTTCTGTTGCAAACAAATAGTTGGTGAAACACTGGGTCAGTACATCTGCCATAGTCAGCAGGCAAACTGGCACTAAAACTCAGCACACAGGGCTACTGATTCACAGCTGCAGAATTACAGCTGGTTTACCGGAGAGAATTCCCAGAGTATTTTTAAATATTCTTTACTTAACACTTAAGGGTAAATCAAACATTGGCAGGACTTTGAGGCTGTATTCAGAAAAAGAACTTTTAACAGTTTGGTTGCTGGGTCAACAGGAAACATACCACTATAGAGATGAATAGATTTAAGCAGTTCGTTGAGTCTGTGGAGCTTTTTTTGGAGATGGAGCCCAGTAGTAATTAAAGGATAATGCAAACAAATTAACCTACATCAATTAATTTGCAAAAATAATTTGAAAGATGACAAAAAAAGTCTTAAAGATGTGTATATATATATTTCAACTTACATTTCCATTAAATCAGAAAAAAGGCCCATGTCCATAGAGCATAGAGTTTTTATGAAGCTTCTGTTTATTACAGTATCATTTTAAATTGTGAGAACTTTAAGCACCTAGAAGTAAAATGAAAATATGTAGTTCATGGTTCAAAAAGCAGGAAAGAAAATAATTGTAATTCTTAAGAGGAGAAGAAACACGCTTGCCAATATAATTGAATGTATTTGTTAGAAAGGTATGCCCTTATAAAACAGTCTTGCCAATAGTCCTGCGACTTCAAATGAGTACCTTTGATTCCTGCCTATTATAAAAATTCAACATTTGTATTGATGTATTTTAGCATAGAATTCAGCCTAGTCTATATTATACATAAACTCTTATTTTATACATTGAATGAATTTAGCCCAATGGTTCATATTAGAAAGTGGTTGATGCTTAATGGAATCATATTAACTTCAGTGGGACTGTGAGGCTTTAAAGCACAATATTTTGTCCAAATGACTGAGATCTGTAATACAAATACACAGTGCCAATTTTGGAGAAGGCATTTTCAATTTTATAAAAATATGATAAACACAGTAATAGGACTTTTATTAAAGCCTAACTCAACAAGTTACTATAATGAATGCTTGTAGAAGCATACAGAGTCTTAGATCTGCTATATTTTATTGCACTATTTTTTTCACGTGAATCATAGCTTAAAATGCATTAATAAACTGTATTAACATGGGTAGGAAATTAACGTAGCAAAACTCAGTGTGAGCCGTCATGAAAGGGAGGGGGAAGGTATTTATTTTAAATAAAACTAATTTCAGTCACACTCATTCCCTCATAGATTTCACTCTCTCACATTCCTACACCCACATACTCCCAGGCACTGAGGTGGGTGCGTCTGGGTGACCTGGCCTAGATCATTTTTTGTGTTATAAGGAGCACAAAAGACACAGATCAAGTCCTGGCAATGTCTCTTGGTTTCCTTTTGATTTGCGATGACAAATTAGTTTGGGGGCAGGTCTTGTACCTTTTAGGAGTCTATGGTGGTTATGATGTGACTTTCTGCCTCAGAACCTTGCCTATTTCACCATTCATGGCTCTTAGGCAAGGTTGCTGCCTGTTGTCTTCCTTCCTTATTTTGTGTATCATCATCTTCATGACTAAAGCCTGTCTCCCCCCAACAGGAAAAGGAATGGTCCAACAGGAAAAGGAATGGTGTATACAATGTGGTGCATTTCCAAATGTTTTCATTTTTATCTAGAAAGATGACAATATTTTCATCAGTATTTTATGCTCAGGAATATCCTTGTCAAATTCAATCTCTTGGCACTATACAGTCCTTATAGGGGAAAAAACATGTTTACATCTGGGGATCTGCAGATTCTATATAGTGCTTATGTTCTTCAGCTGATACTTCACCCCAGCCGCAGTTACTATTTGTATAGCATAATGGTAATCATGGTAGCTTAAGGAACTGTGTCACGAGATTCATAGGGGATAGGATATTATATGTAACAGGTGGAGAGGAAAAAAACACTCAATCCCATCTTCATGACTCTTCAGTATTCCTGTTTCCGAGTTAAGGAAGGGAATATGTTCTAGAAACTTTGTTGCCACCAAACTGTACCAGTTAGGTTAATAAATAGATTTCATTTAATTCCCATAGTATATTTTTTTAATATATATATCACACATACATTCATAATTGTACTTGGAGTGTTCAAAGGAATTTGTAAAACCTGGACTCCTACCCAATCTTAACTGTATAGCTTACACAGAATCAGAGTAACGATAGCACAGCACAATTTTGTGGAATTCACCCCATAACGCATTCCCCAGGAATCAACAGAATATAAGTGGAATGTTGTGAGTGAGAATAATTAAGGCAATGAGCCCCTAAGCCTGTCCCTTTCTTCTCCTGCACTGAGTCAGTGGCTGGGCTAAATAAAATCTCTATTCTTTCTGGTTTTATCATTTCAGACAACCCAAAACAAAGCAGCCGTGTCCCAGTGTTCATTAAGGTTTTGGATGTAAATGACAATGCTCCAGAGTTTGCCATGTTTTACGAGACCTTCGTCTGTGAAAATGCAAAGGCAGAACAGGTGTGTTGTCTGTTTGTACCAAGAAAATATTCCAAATTAATTGAGTTTTGCTACTACTTTTGCATCACCTCATCAAGAGGTTTACTTTGCATTGCATCAAACTGTCAGTTTTGCAAAATTAAACTAAACAGTGGCTGCACAGTATCTGATTACACTTAGTATTCTTGCAGCTAATGTGACAGTGTGTTTTACACTGTTGTTTTCTGTACTGCACCTTGTTATCCCTGATTCATTTTCATTCTGTGATTCTCTGCTTTATTCAGGCACCTCCACTGTCTCCTTCAAAAACAGTTTCAGGTCCGTAACTGTTACAGGTCCTGTCTGTGATATAACTGTTTCCTGCCAGATAACTCTCACTCTACCTGGAGTAGAGTAATAGGACTATTACTAAATGGTTCAAAGTAGCAGATAATTTGGAAGATTCAGCCAAACAATTCCTGTGACATGAGATTTGGGTAGATAAATATACAGCCATCTTGGACTGTCTCACCTTTCACCTCTATTGCTTGTCACATGCAAAGGTTTCCTACCCATCTGGAGTGGCATCAACCCAAGCCTGCTCTTGAATTCAACATGATTTTCCTGCCAACTTTCAAATTCATTATGTTACTGGCTGATGGTATGGGATACAATAGCATGGTGATCCTAAACAGCATCAGCAGCACATGGATCACTTTTCTTAAACTCGCCATAGCAGCATCAGCTGCCTTAAAGCAGAAGAAAATAATGAATGCAATAAGATTGCTTTACAATTCTAGAGTACATAAATAAGCGTAAGGTCCACTGACTGAAGATAATTTTGTTCTTATTGTTTCAGCTGATACAAACATTAAGTGCTGTTGATAAAGATGACTCTTACAGTGGACATCAGTTTTCATTCTCCTTAGCTCCCGAGGCAGCCAGCAGCTCAAACTTTACACTACAGGACAACAGAGGTGAATTTCTAGGAAGAGTTTTCTTTATTATCTCATCCTTGCTTTCAGTCTTCGGATGAAGATTTAACGTGTGCTTTGTGTTTCCAGACAACACAGCAGGGATTTTCACCCGAAAAACCAGATATAACCGGCATGAAATGAGTACCTACTTCTTGCCAGTGGTAATATCAGACAATGACTACCCTATCCAGAGCAGCACTGAAACGGTGACTATTCGAGTATGTGCTTGTGACCATCGAGGAAAGATGCTGTCCTGTAATGCCGAAGCCTTGATTCATCCTACTGGTCTTAGCACTGGGGCTCTTATTGCCATTCTTCTCTGTATCATTATATTACTCGGTAAGTAGCTCAGAGGCATTTTGTTCCCTTCGTGGTTATTTTTCATTGCTACAAGTGATTATACCAAGGCTAGGACAAGAACAAAGCAAAGACATCCTTGTCTTATCCTGCATTTGTATTATTGTATTTCCTCCTCTAAGGGCTGCTACAGATATGGTGTATAGAACACATCCTATCTAATCTTAGTTATCTAAAAGTTAGCAATGTCCAAGCAAGAAGAGACAGCTGGGCTCCACCCTCTGGTCAGTGGAAAGAGACAGGCACCTGTAGAGAGACATTCATCCCATCCCTTTATTGGTATCTGAGGTGGACCAGACTAATCACCCTCTGCAGGTGTCCGTCTCTTTCTATTGACCATAGAGGGAGGCCAGATAACTTAGTTTTAAACAATTAAATTCCTGTGTCTAAACTGAGGAGAAAAATGTCTCAGTGCTTCTGTTCTGCTGGAAAAGGATGCTGAAATAGGGTCACTACTAAAGCACTCTCTCAAAAGCTGCAGGGTCCTCCCTTTCAGGCACCTGTGAATATGAAGAGGTTGGATCCTGAGTGTGGAGGATGTACAGATCTCTGGCTACAGCACTTACAGGTGGTCAACATTTATTTTTTAACAAAAATAAGGACAGTTTGCAACATCTCTCACATTCCTCTCTCTCAGTTTCCACCCCTCTTGTACAGCAGAGGTGATTGGTCCCTCAGCCATTAGCCATAGTCCATTCATCTGGGGAGAACTGTACAATAGAACACAGGCAGTTCTCGGGGAGATGTTATTAGTCACCTTTAGTATCTGTCCAGGAAAGAAGGGAGTCAGACCAATTTTATAGCAGTAGGGTCAAGCAGGGGAGAAAATGTTTCCTCAGTGATTCCACTTCTTTCTACGATACTCGTATCTTCCTTGGACATGCTCATCACCACTGCAGAACCATCCTGATCTTTACCATTAACAAAATTTCCCTCTCCAGTGATGGGTCAAAGACCATGTTGTGATTCTCAGACTTTAACAACGTAGTCATGGCTTGCCCAAATAAGCACTATCCCATTTTCAGAAAAGATTCCCACAATAACAATGTTATCCTGAATTTGCCATTAAATTCGTTTTTCAAAACATGGTATCATTGCCTCTAAGGGCTGAGCTCCCTTCGTATCAAGTTCCTTACCAGAAAAAGAAATCTAATGCTGCGGATAGTCTTGCACTCGTTAGTACAACTGTGCTCATTAATATCAATCTGACATTAAACGATTTCCTGTTTTATGTCAATCGAAAATAATTGATTCTGTGTGCTAAGCAGCACTTTATGTCAATTACTGCTCACGCCACCATGCACCATAAGCAGATTTTCAATTAACTCAGCTATATAATTTTCTATTTTCAGGCTGGTTGCAGGGTTTGCATGTGCAACCACTGCTGAGTGAAAAACAATTCTCTGGGCAGACCTGAACTACAACTTAAAGTTTGGCAGCAACAAAAAGTGCCTGTAAATTGCTAGGTTTATTTGCAGTTTGAGTAAGTCTAGCAGCTTATCAGGAGGCCTCAGATACTGCTAAACACTGGCATGCAAATAAAGATGATGTACTTTAATGTATAACTTCTAATGGTTTTTTTGCCTGCAAGTTCAGCACAAAATAAGAAAACCCAAGTATCAGAGATGTGACATAATTATCAAAGTCTCATCCTTGCATATTCTGTGTAACGCCTTTTTTGTTAATGAGGTACTTCAGCAACCCTTCCATGTAAAAACTATCATTCCTACTCTTTCTCAGATCGTTCTACCGGTCGCTCTTCCGGAAGTCCATTCAAAATCGACGCTGTGTTTTCAAGTTCTCCAAAATTTTTTCCAGCTATCTCCGTTCTCTCACATAGACCTTTCCCCAGTCTTCCCACATAGTGTCACAGCTTTATGCTCTTAAGGAAGAGAATTCTCTCTTACTGCATTTTTGCACAGCAGCACAAAGAAGCATCACTCAGATTAGGACCCTTACGTGACACCATAAGTAAATCCTCATCATCAGGGTGAGAGCCTGAAGCTTTCACCATCTGAACCAGCCCTCCTAATTCCTTCAGTTTCACCACGTCACTTATTTCCTTTCAACTCATATTAACAGATGTTCTCCCTTACTCACACTATTCCTATGGTAAAGACACAGCAGGAATTAGAGCATTTTCCTACTTTATCCTATCTTCTTGGGATCCCTTTATAGTCGATGGAGAGAAAGAGTATGAGACTATTCCACAACATGCTTGAGCACATCTACAGATAGCGTCTTGCTCTAAGCAATCCTGCAGGGGAGCCCATCATTCGAAAAAAAAAAAATCAGCTTTTTGTCTGTTGAAGGAAGCTAAGAAAGACAAGTTTCAATGGGCTAAAATTTTGTTTTGGGGATGTCCTTAGTCCTTGGCGTTGCCCTTAACAGGGTTACAAATGAGGAAGAGACTGCAAAAAGAAAAAAAAGCTTTTTAACAGTTACCGTGCTTTGATTCACACACCATTTTAGAAACACGGCTGACATAAAAAATAATTTTGAACCACCTTATCGTCTCATATCAATGAGTTTAGGCATTTTCTGATTTGCTTTGCTTTATTGTGAAAGAACTATAAAGCCAGCAAGATGTGTCTTTTCCGAGTTCGTGCAGCAGAGCTGAAATATTGGGCATTGTGGTCCTCAGACTACGAAAGCAACAGTGACAGTAGTAATACATCCCGGCTCCTTGCTGCTGTTCATTTGTAAATATTCAGCCATTTACCACCTTAAGGTAGAATCCAGCTAAGAAATCTGAAATTAGCTTCTAAAGGAAATAACGTGTTGAACATATCCCCTCCCACCCTCTGTGCCCACTTCTCCAACAGTACCAGCGATCACTACTGAGTAAAAATATTTAGATTTTGATCAGGGCCTTGGAAAGGGTTCCTGCCCTCCAAATAAATGAAATACACACACACACAAAATTATCTGTTTGAGAAATCTCATGCCTTTGGCAGATTAAATAATACCATTACCATATCTCATCAGTCTAAGATTTAAACCATGCACTTTTTTAAGGTGATGTACATTGTAAAAACATGCCAGGGAAGTTAATAAAACTTGGACTTTGTGCTGGCTGAAAATCCACTCCGTATTCCAAGCTTTTTTCCAGAGGAGGGTAGATTTACTTATCTTGAAATGCAGCTTTGCTAACCTATTGTCACAGCCCAGTACGTACTAGCCTTGTCCATAGCACAAGTTGCATCTCGTCTCAGGGGGTCAAGGTGAGTAACACTTGACGTTACTTATTTTGCTCCCTTCCCAACTCTCATAAAACTAGTTCTGTTCTCAAGGCAACAAAATTGCTATATGACTCTGGGTAAAAATGTGCCTACTGGCAAAAAGATACTCCACTTGGCTTCTTACAAGCTTGACATCTCCTTTCTTCTAGTGCATATCCATGCCATTTCATCTCCCAAGGTACTCACAGGCAGAGCAAGCACAGTCTGAAAACCTGACGTGCGCATCTGCAGTTTTGCAAAACATCTTTTAAAACTTTGAATTCGAGCAGAGGCACAGCATTTCTTCTGGGTTGTAATGGAGTTAGGGATTAACCTTTCCCTTTCTCTTCCCCTGTTATTTTTGCTTCCAGTTACAGTGGTGCTGTTTGCAGCACTGAGACGGCAGCGGAAGAAAGAGCCTTTGATTATTTCCAAAGAAGACATCAGAGACAACATTGTCAGTTATAACGATGAAGGTGGTGGAGAGGAAGACACCCAGGCATTTGATATCGGCACGCTGAGGAATCCTGAAGCCATAGACGATAATAAGTTACGCAGAGACATTGTGCCGGAAACACTTTTTATGCCACGGCGGACTGCAACAGCGCGAGATAACACGGATGTCAGAGATTTCATTAACCAAAGGTTAAAGGAAAATGATACAGATCCAACGGCACCCCCGTATGACTCGTTAGCAACCTACGCGTATGAAGGTAATGGTTCTGTGGCCGAGTCCCTCAGCTCCTTGGAGTCGGTGACTACAGACGGAGATCAGGACTACGATTACCTCAGTGACTGGGGACCTCGGTTTAAAAAGCTGGCAGATATGTATGGCGCAATGGACAGTGACAAAGACTCTTAATATGTTGCCTTTTTTTTTCTTTTTTTTTTCCCTTCCTCATTTTCAGAAACAGCATTGAGATATGTGAATTGGCTATTTCTTTCTATTTCTCCACAGCTGTGTGAAAGGGTTCTCTGTTCTACCCATTCAAATTGTCTAATGACTGCAGTCTGTGTGGATCTGCCATCAGAAAACTTTTTCTAGTATCATTTTATGAGCTTCCAAGAGGCAAAATTCTTATTTTTTACTGCATCCAGTTTACCAAGCCAATCTTACAGGCACGGCAGTAGTGGAGGGGAAAAAAAGGATCAGATGGGGAGCAATATTTTCACTTGTTCTGCTTATATTGTAAATTGGACTATATTACTGTTTAAGATCACTTGCTCTTTTTACCTGTATTCAGACTATTCAGCTCAGACGACTGCTCTGTCAATTGTGTATTGCACATCCCAATGTAATGAGGTACCCTAGTTCACCCTATGTATTATAGTCAAAAGTAGTGGTGATGGAATGAAGGTTTATTATACAAGTAGAGTAAGCTGAGAAAAAACATCAAACATGCATTTTACTCATGAGGAGGGTAGAAAGGCCTAATGGTCGTTTAAACCTAAGTGTTTTTCTAGAACTCGCCATTGCCCCCAATGCACTGAATCATACTAACACACACATATATATAGTTCATTGACTGCTATGTATATATTCTTCTGACCTAGCATTGCTGGAGAGATGTGTGTGCGTGCATGTGTGTGCGGTCAGTAGCCCCAATATCTAATTCTTAGATGGTTTCCCAGTTCTAACCCAGACTTGCCTTCTGATATGGGGAAAGTCATCTAATCCAACTCCAGATGAGATCATGACTTGGAGGAAGGAGCAGATCCTAACTGTGCTTTTCCTCGTACTTCTTCGGTTGGCCTCCACCTGCACATCAGTTCAGTGGTGGCCACTGCGCTGGGGAGGTGGGAGTCAGGCTTTACACATCCATCTACTTCTGCCTGTTCTCATGTGCAAGAGGGGAGCAGTAGCCTCAAGGTGACTGCCGCCTGTTGGGGCAAAAGGAGCGACTGCAAAGGAGGAAAGAGTGCTTTTTTCTGTCCTGACCTTCCCTGCCTGGATGCCCAGGGTGGCTTCCCGACTGACTCGCTGCCCAGTTTTGCTATCTGTAAAGTGGGGAAATAATGCCTACCTCATCAGGATGTTGCAAGAATTATATAAGTCATTTGGAAAACGCTTTAGAGATGGAAAATGCTGGTATTCTGCCAGAGGAATTAATTTCTCATGCTTTTGGGTGGTTGTTTTCTTTTTTTTTTTTTACTCCAGATTCAAGCCCTGAATGCACAAGTAAGCAAGAATCAATTGTCATTCCAGTGGCCTGAAAAGTAGAGTTTATAACTAGAACTCATTTTTTTAAATAAACTACTCAGCCAGGGTTGTTAAAGACTTCACCAAAAGGTAAAATTTTAATCACAAGTCTCTGTGTGTGTTTATCTGCTTTGCCAAGCTAAGTAATTTTTGTCCAGGGGTGGGGCGGGGGAAGGTGCCATAGTCTCAGGCCAAAACAATTTTCTTTTTCTTGTGCACCACTCAGTATTTCTGTCGGTTTGTCAAACACATGCAGTTGCTGCTTTTCAAATCCAGCCATCTAGGAGAGGCTATCTGGAGAAAACCCTAAGGGGCTGCCATGGGACATATCCAATTCCAGGAACTAAAAGCCACCTTGTGTCCCAAAGCAGGGACGCAGCCCATGGCACTGTGCCAAGGAAAGAAGGATTTTTTTTTTTTTTTACTATACCTCATACATAACTAATCTCATTTATTTCATTTTGAAACAGTATTTAATACCAGAATTACAGGCATGGATCTATTTTCCCCCTCCCCCAAATCTTAAGTGGATCGGTTTGAAAACTAAACAACAGCTCCAATTTACTCTAAAAATAAAGAGAGAAGAGAAAAAAGTTAATAAACAGAAAATTAAAAGGGATTAAAAATTAATCCCTGGAATTCATTACTCCTAGAGAGTTAAATAAAGAGAGCAGTAAGATTCCCTAATATTAGACTTTTACAAGCACGACGACATAATTTCAGGTTTTGCGAACTGACTTGCAGCAAAGAGGATGAGCCAGCTATGCTGCTAAGGCAGCTAATGGCTTGCAGATGCCCAGCATGATAAATTAGATGGGTTTTCAGAGTGGACGACCCCAGAGTTTCAAAGGGTCCTGAGCCCCCGGTCTTGCTGATGGAGACCTCTCATGGTGCTTCAGTCCAGCAAAGCGAGGTGCCCAAATCCATTGCTTAGGGGGGCTGAGCCTGCCACACCCGTGACAATGAAAATGGCATGACTAGGCCCTTATTATGTCCTCCTGAGGGTCCATCAGTAATTTAAGATGATAAAAGCCTTTGAAAGTCTAGCCCTTCATGGCTTCCTTGAAATCGGAGCATCCAGGAGGCAACCTGTCTGAAACCTGGCTACAGCACACAGGAGGGACCATCTGGATTTCAGATACATGGAGGAGCAGCAGATGCTCAGCACCACCTGCCACAGGTCCCTCACTTCGGGCTGCTCTCTTCACACGGTCAGTGGAGGCAGCGTACCTTTCAGGGGACTCTTCCGAATGGCTCCCTAACACACACCTCTGTCTCACCCTTCATGGTGTGGGATTGCCTCGGGCAAATCACCTCAAGCTTAGAGTCCAGTTGGATGCCCAAAACGAGCCAGCGAACTGCCCCTTCCCCTCCTCATTTTTTTAAACAGTTACTCATTTTTTTAAATAAATGTTTTAAGATTTTTAAAAATGAGGAAACAGTTTTGTGTGTGGAGGGAATGGCAGAGGTGGATGTGAAACTGCACACATATTTAGCCCTGCGAGCCATCCCCAGCTCACAGGGAAGAGGGAGTCGCCATCACTTGACTGAAGACAGACCTTGCACCCTGAAAGGGCTCGGCCACCGCGCGGGTCAGCTTGCATTAGTCACTCCTTGAGGTGGAATAACAAGACAGGAGGATCACTGATCTCCTTGTAACTACTTTCCTATGTTTGTACAGTGATTTTGTCTGATTTAGTGATTGTTACTAGCAGTCCAAGCTCAAGTTTTTTGTTTTGGGTTTGGGTTTTTTTCCTTTGAATTGGAAGCTGGTTTTATCTTGTCCATTGAGTGACACAGTAAATAATAGAGAGTGGCTACTTGTGCCTGTTGTGTAAATATATTATATATAAAAATTATGTTATGTCACCACAAATATGGTGCCTGAATAGCAAATGGATTCTTCTAAGAAAATTCAAGGCAAACTTGCATCCAAATTATTATTTATGCATCTAGGTTTTGAGATCTATATTTTCCTGCAAATTAGACAGATTTAGCATCTCTCACACAGCAAGAAGAGCTCAATTCTGTCTTTTCTTCTTGCTTGGCAGTACCACAAAGTGCAATTTATAAAATCAGTACTGCATATTAAATATTGAAAGTGCCATATTGCAGTGAATACAAAACTTTGCAGTAGTATTTCTTTGCACCTTGTTGCATGCCGGTGTGCTAGATGATAGAAATGAGTATTTAACAATGCTTTCACACAATACTAGGATTGTCATTTATAGATAAACAAGTGTTTGACTATGGGCTATGAAGTGGGTTTCAAGGCTGTTTTAAGCCTGCTCTTCTTACAACCACACCTATTTGAGAAAAAGAAATATTATTAGGAAGTTTAGCTAGACCAGGTAGAGAGATGAGCAATGCAGTTGGCTTTCAATTTGGAAAAGCATCTGATCTAATGACAGGGGACCTATTAAAAGATACCAAGGAATTCAGTGGACTTATGAACAGGGGCATGTTTACTTGGGAGACGTTTCCAGCCTTGCTACCGCAGAACAATTAACAACTCTACATTTGAAATGGAATAGGGTTTCTAGTACAGCTATTCCATCCCAGCTCCCAAAACAGCCACTTTATCCCAGAAAAATGATTTTTTACTCCAGAAGAATGGTTATTTCAGGTTAAAAATTATTCTACCCCACAGCAGCACCAGTATGGGGAGATGCAGCAGGGGAGATGCACCAGCACAGGCCTCCAACGCAGTTGTACCAGGACATCTCTCTGTGTAGACAAGCACTTGGAAGCGAGCTGAGGCAGAAACTTGCAGCAAGCTCTGAACAAGGGAATTCGGGGGTTTCCACAGGGCTCTACTGACAGTACCACAGGACTGGGATGTGTTCCCAAACCTGATGTGGACAGACACACTGTCTAACCATGAGAAAAACAAGTTGTCTGTGTGTTTCAGTTACTGCTGGTAAAAAAATTGCTGGGAAAGATTACGAGTAGAACACTCCACCTTTACCAACACCAATATTTTATAAATTTGTCCTAAGAAACAGATATATTTTACCGATATTTTTTTATTTCATTAGTTGTCAGGTCTTACTTCATTCTAGGGACAGGTATTTCCTAGCTGTGAAATGTGAATGGGAGAGGCGACCTTCAAATAATCCAGTTTTGGAAGTAGCAGGCTACATTACAAGGCACAACATTTCCATTTCTCTGTCACAAAACAAACAAAAAAATCCCACAAAAACCAACTAACTGAATACCTGTAGTACCATAAAAAGCAGAACAGTCATAAAGAAGTAGAGCAGGGAGAAATGGCTCTGGGAATGCATGTCTGCACATGTACAGTATGAATAAAAAGAAGGGAAATAATGACCACTGGAAGCTAGTCGTGTTTCAAAACCAGACTTATCCATCTTAAGCAGGGGCAACAGTGCATAGTCACTTCTAACACTCCCAGGTTTCCTACAGCAGCCAGAGTGACATTTGCATGGATAGGAAGAAAGACATCACCTTTTTCAGACCAAGCAAATTAAATCCAGGCCATTTCCATGCAAATATCTAGGAAAGAAAGTCCCTTTGTCATGATTATTATGAAAACGTTAAATTTCTGCAGCAGATCTATCTTGATGGCCTTCTGCAGGGTGAATTACGGACAGTGATTCTGAGCAGGTAACTCACTGCAGACACCACCGTGTTCGCTCTTCCTGCCACCAT